ATTAACATTTTCTTTAAACAATTGCCCATATCTCAAAAAGTGTTATTTTTATTTTAAAAATTCTTTTTTTATTGCTCGGCCACGCGTCGGTGCTGCTACCAAACTTACCGACTTATCGGCGTCGTAGGGCCCATGAGCGTTCACTATTATCGCTAACTGTATCGCATCTAATGATCGCTCGATGAATTTAATAACGGACTTTTAAAGATAAAATGTCAAGGAACTCAATAAAAAAAGAATTTTTAAAATTAAAATAACACTTTTTGAGATATAGTCAATTGTTTAAAAAAAATGTTAGAGATATAAATTTTTGAAAATTTTTGGTCAAAAATTTTCAATTGTTTATAACTTTTGATATAATTATTATAATGATCTAATAATCCATACTTAAATACACTACCATACAGACAACATGTATAGACCAAGTTTCAAGAAAATTCGAAACCTAACCCTGAAAAGCTGATCGTCATAGTCTGGAATGTGCCAGCTTTACTCGCAAAACAAGGGGAAGGATGGCAAAACTGACCTGAGAAAAAAAATTTCAAGCCATCTTTTCCGGAACATTTTAGTCTGTCCTACGCTTTCGTTGAGTTCACATCTCAGACTGAGTTTGATGAAAAACTAGTATTTGCTCATTCGATTTTATAAATTTGAATTTTTTATTCTAGCTATTCAGAGTAAAGAAGTTAAATATTTGAAAATGGTGGTAATAATGTAATTAATAAATTATTGTTTTCGTAATTTGTCCTAGAGGGAAAGTTATGTTAAATCAGAGTTTGCTGTATCATATATATTTCGGCATATTCAAGTGTTTGACGATTTGTATTTTTGTCGTTGTAATATTATTGAATTAATATTATCAATATTTATTACAGTTTTGCGAACGAAATGTTAAGAAATATTTCGACGACCAATTAATAGATTACTTAAAAGAAGGTAAATATCAGGCGGTTGTGCATCTGATACAAAATATACCGGCAGATAAACTAGTAGACTGTCGCGGCACAACTTTACTACATTTGGCTGCCAAGTACAATAGTGCGAATATAGTGTATTATTTGATAAATCAAGGGTCTGTAATCGACGCCGTCGACGATTGGAGTACAACGCCACTTATAATGGCTGTGAAAGAAGAAAGTGTCGCAGCAGTGAAACTACTACTGGAAAAGAGTGCAAATATCTACCCAACTGAATTGTACGAAACGTGCGCACTTAACGTAACTATGAAATTATCTGCTTTGTCATCGAAAAGCTTATCAATAATAAAGGAATTTTTTAAAGTTATATCTTTCGATCTCGCGAACGGCCGATTGAGCATCAACGAATTGGCGAGTAAACTGCAACAAGCCGAGTGTCCTCTATATCGAGCTGTCTATTTGTACAATCCCGAAGTGACGAGAACGATGATCAGTTTTAAACCTGGCTGCGTTAATTCTCAGGACTCCGATACCGGCAACACTGCGCTACACGAAGCTGCCTATCAATCGGACATTCCAAACATGCTAGTACTCTTGCAGAACGGAGCTGATATTAGTATTAAAAATAAAAAAGGGAAAGAACCGGAGGTTCTCAAGTTCTGTTACAACATGGAAATACTTAGTCTACTGTTGAAAAGGAATATCGCGTGGGAGGAGTCGGAGAACGATAGCAAAGCTATGAAGCTAAGACACGTTTTAAGTAAGTGTTCTAAGGCAGCTGTGCAACTGTTTTTACAATACTGCAATATAAATTTTTTGAGGAGAGATAACTTGGAGAAAACAGCTTTATATTATTTAATTGAAAACAACAATAAAGATGTGTTGGACTTATTTAAGTACACCGACATTAATGTGAATGCACTTGACAGAAGTAATCATTCTGCATTGCACTACGCCGCGCTTTATGGCGATCCAATCTCTACTCAATTTTTATTAGAAAAGGGTGCTGATCCGAATATTCGATGTAACAGTAATTACACTCCTCTGTTATATGTCATTCAGCAGACATCTTCTGATTCCTCTCTCAGAAAGAAGTGCGTTGAGCTTCTTTTGTTATTCGGAGCTGATCCGGAGTTTCAGAGAGATGGAGATACAGTGATCGGGCTAACTGAACAACTTGATTTGTCCCATTTAATAGAGCCGCTGTTAGCACACTTTGCACTGCTCGATTCTGAAGACAAGCCGATTTCTGATCGATCTTCGATTTCTCGGGCGCAAATCACTTTATCTCATTTGACAATAGATTATTACAACCAGTGCCTAGCCGACCTTGAACATTTGAAACAAGAAAAGCTATATCGCTCACTCACGATGTATACATTTCTCGTTTCAGACGAATACACGTTGGCGAGCTACATTCATATACCATCTATTTCACATAGATTTTCCCAAGAACAAATTCATTATAATTCATTTTACAATGAGATTTTGAAAAGACACTTTAACAAAGCCGTGGAAATTCTCAACTTAAGAAAGTCAGCAATGCGTCGTTTAAGCGATATGTTTCGAATATGGGCCTCAGACGATCACGTGTTAGAATTGATAGTAGGTTTTTTTAAATACGAAGACTTGGTTATATTACACGAAAATTGATACCACGAACAAATAATTATTATCGTTTGTTTAACTTAGTTTCGATATTATTTTAATAGTTGCAGATTACGAAACCTTACGAAATCATTTGCGCATCTGTGTGCAAGCTGGCATAACGAAATACATAAAATTTACAATTGTAGATTATAACTAATAATAACTAATAATAGCAAAAAATTTACAGCTGATATTACTTAATATTTGTTATAATAATTAATTGTCATTTGTGTATTTAACGCAAGTTGTGTATTTTGTAACTAAAACATTAACTCATGACGTTGTAAATAGTGAGTTAATAATTTCTTTCTTGCCTTATCCAATTAACAACCCTGTCAAATATTCGTACGAAATTTGTACTGAAACCGTACTAGTTCAATCAATAGAGAGAAATTGTAGACTCGCTATCAGACTCAATGGGATAGTCATCTGTTTCAGCTGTAAATATTTTCAAACACTTATCAGCTTTTGTAAGATCAATTTTACTTATCGACTTCATTTTTAAAATGTGCATCACTTCATAACTATAATAGAGTAGCCAGCTTTCCAATTTGTGGAATTTCCAGTATTTTCTATCGGATAACAAGCGTGACAATAGCGTTATTTCATTTGGTGTTTGAATTTTGACAATCAATTTCTGTTATTTTATCTTCCAATATTATTTATCAAACCCGATTTATCAAACCACATACCTGAAAATTGTCGACGAACTCCTAGAGAATAGCATCAGGAACCAACCTATCTATGACATCAAATTATAATAGATACACTAATGAAAACATTCCGGTTACACCTTGCATATTTTTTTATAGTTACTTTTTTCGAAACTTCTTGTCTAATTTTCATTGTATCTAAAGCAATATTCGTTTATCCGGAATATATAATCAAGAAGTCGATATTTAATAACTTTCTTTTTTTTTATGTAAAACTGTCATACCGAGATGAACTAGTTTAAACCGAAATATCCATTAAATTAAACAATTGACTGTATTAATGCGCGCGCCACAGCGTCTATACAGCAACATATTAGATAAATTCTTATTTTTCTTAAACTATCAGTAATTTTGCAAGTTCCTTGTTTTGAACATTAATATCTTTTACAAAAATTTTAATAAAAACATTCATATTGGGCTTACTTTACCCGCATTACAAAGCAGCTATTACAGTATTACTAAATCTTACATACGGAGGTAATTCATTTAATAGAACCTGAATGGGCCATATTGAACGAATTGTACTTATCCAAATGGGCGCCCCATCAACGTTAAATGTCATGGTAAGATACGAATCTTTACACTCTCACTTAATAAAGAAATGAATTCTTTATACTTTAAACCATCATGTATATCTTCTAAATTTTTTTCGGCGCATTTTTGATCTTTTACTAATGCGGCATAGTATTCGTCGTTTGGTTCTAACAAGTGTGTTACTTTTTCTTTAACATTAAAAATTATGAAAGAGTTATTATTTCTAGTAACAGTTATGTCTTTTTCACAAATGTCGCGAGAAACACTGCGTTCAGTATTTTCACAGTCCCTGACATGTTGGACACACAGTGTTGAACTCTGAGCTATCATTCGAGTGTAGTAATTTATCAATTTCGAAAATTGAGTTAGGTAAAAACCGCTGAATTGAGAAAAATGTTAAACAATTCACAAATATTTTCAAATGCACTCAGAGGTAAAGAATACTTTGAAGGAAAATTCTCAACGCCCGGCACCGATGTGCGTGGGAGTTCCGGCGAGGTGATGCGGGTGGGCACGTAAGCGTCCATTGCCGTTAGCGATAACATTGGTGAGCGATAAGCAGCGAGGAGCGAGGCAGCAACAACAGCAATAGCGACAAGAGTAACATCAACAGCCACACAGAAAATTACGACAACAAGGAAAGTAACACAACAACAACAGCAAGGACAATGATGACATCAGTCGTTACACCAACGACAACAGCGACAGATCCAGAAGGCCATGGACGAGGTCGGTGCCATGATTTTCTCTCTCTCGCATGTTTTGGGCGGCAGCATACAGCGGGTAGCGTGAGAAACCTGCCAGCTATACAGTCGGTCGCGATCGCCGATTTATTTGTACGATTTTGTTGTTGTGTTAAGATTAAGGGTAAATTGGGGAATCGGGTGGTAGCCCTGCCACCGATTCGCCCTCATGAGCGCGGAGTTGTTGCATTTTGTCACATATAGTGTTCTCGTTTGATTTATTTTTTTCGAGTAAAATTACTTTATGTTAAATTGCTATCGTAGTCATCTTTCACCAGTGTTACTCCTCATCCCAAATTCCACACGGGCGATTGACGCATTATTACTCGGCGCGTCATTTAGTCGTAGGAGCGTTCGCGCCTCGCGAATCCCCCTTTAAAAGCGGAAACGGCTGTACTCCGTTACAGTAGAAATCACAAAGAATCAAGTCAATTCCGAAAAAAGAAATTTATTCGTTCAAACTATCAAAATTATGCACGATGCAAATAAGTTCTCCAGTAAGTATGAAGTTGTCAGCGATGAATAAGAGAGATGTGATTTGAATAATAATAATTTCTTTGTACGTAAACACATTATTAATATAAAAATACTTGAAATACTTATTAACACAAGGTATTTTATCGAATATAAACATCGAGTCGACACTCACAAAGTCGTGCCAGTATTAACACTGTACAATATACAACGTCTAAAATCAAGTACCGACGCGATTCTTCGTGTCAACGTTGTAAGTATAAAGTTTTTTTCGTTGCATAATTTGAGCCTCCAGAAGATATCTGCTTAGTCAATTGATGCTGCAGAGGGCATCTCTTCATCCCATACCAATCAGATATGTCATAAGAGCGTTTTTGATAGTCAGTATTAAGCATTTCGCATAAATCACAGATAATACGTTGGCGCGAGCTAGCCACACGATACTGCTTTTTCCAATCAAAGTACTTTTTGTATTCAGACACATTATGGGATAAGTAAGCTAGATACTCGGCTAAGTCATTTGGTGTGTTGAAGTCCAACGCGTTAACGTAAGATTTTGGTGGGGCGAAACGGTTATAATTAGCACCACCGTAAACTACAGGAACCACGTTATATCTGTAATAGAATATAAACATAGATATTTATTGGCAAACATTTCAGTATAGTATCAATGGATACATCAATCGATAATAATTGACAAAGTAGACTTTGATATTCGTTTAGTGCAATGAGATCAGTGAAATGACACGTAGGTAAAAAAATGCAACAACCAGATAACCGCATAAAGACTCACTTGAGAGCATTGTAAAGCGTTTCGGTAACGTAGTCGTCGCAAAGAGAGTCTTCGAAAGCTAAGTAGAAGAAATAATTGGGCTCGACGTGAGTTTTGAAGCAGTCGGCGTCCTTGAGACAGTTGGTCGAATCGTCGGAGCACTTGCCGTATTTGTCGATAGGCGCATACTTCTCGAGTTCAGCCACGTAATTTTCACGATTGCTCGGCGTCTCGCAGTTATTACGATACCAAACCGCCAGTTTTCTCTTGGCTATGATCTTTCTAATCAATTGCTCTTCTTCTAGTTCCTCGACAATGTCCTTCTCCTCGTAGCCGCTATCAATCGTTTTCCACTTGAATTCAGTTCTGGATGGTACCGCCACCATTTGTTCCTCGGCAAGATCAATCATATCCGCGTAAGTCCAGATGATATCGCTGTTCAATTGGTAGGTCATCGTCGCGTTGAACAAGTTATTGAAACGATTGCTGATATACTGATTCGCTGGACTTTTCAAAGCAACAAACACGTACTTCTGCTCGGGTCTGCGGCTTGTGGGCAGATCCCGGTAGGTCAGCTCGTCGTGGATACCGTGGTGGAAGACGATCGCGTCGAAGCTGTCGACGCTTTGGATGAATCGACTGTGAGTGGCAAAGCAGTTGTTGAAGCGAGGACAATTTTGAGCAACATAGCCCTCGCCGAGATAGAAACTGTAGTCGCCGGAGAACTGATTCCAGTAGAGGATAGTTTTGATGTTGCCGCGACGAATGAACGCGTAGGCGGCAATGGACGAGACAGTGGCCGGGTTCAGAAAAAGTAGCGCGCACACGCACAGCGATACGACGAACGCGAACACAATGAAGGCACGCCGCGTGTTCATAATGTCCGCGACAGGCTCACGAGAATGTACTTCATTCCGCGGAGATGAGCAGGAGTGAAGTCGAATCAGCAGCAGCTGGTCGGCGAACGTCGCTCTAACAATACGTCAACCCAGTCATCGTTGTAGAACTGCAAACGGCCCAAGGCTGGTGAAAGGCAGAAGATCTGCTGTACTGTAGCAACTGTTTGTTCGCAGCTCACTCAATGCTATTGCGGAATGCGGATTCTCTCTTTCTCTCTCTCTTTCGGCGCGAGTGCGAGAGGCGCTCCTTCTCTTTCAGTCTCAAACAACTTGTTGACGTCATGTTCTAGCGCTTGCAGCAGAATCTATACCTCGCTGTGCTCCGACAACTGCTATGCTTCGATCCCTCCACACCTACTTCCCTACACATCTATGCGTACGAATTATTGCCAATGCAGTGGCTTTGCTGGTACAATCGATAGTGTAAGCAGTCTTCTCAAACTTTCAATCATTGCATATGAATCTACCTTATATGAATATTTTCTATTATACTTAAATTATCATTCTCCAAATTCATTACATAAATAATTTTAACTATGGTGCGTTTATTTTATTACCTACAAATATTATTGTATAATCTATTCCTTTCAAAAGAAATACTTTATTGTACTTGTTTTGTACAATTTTATCGAAATTATTAGCACACATTATGAAATCAGGATTAAATTTGTTGGAAATTTAGCTGAAAGTAAATAACGAGAAACGATAGTACAAGGATCTATTCATTTCATCAGGCGTTAAACATCTGAATGTTATTGGAAATCATGGATGAATAAAACTTATGTGACATAATAACAGAAATTGAAATTTCTTATCGCGTATGTTAAATATTTCAAGACATTCGACTGTATTGTTCTTTCAAAATCATAATTTTTATTGTCGTTTAAGGTCATTAAACGGTTCATTAAATTGTGGAGTACGTTACTCTTGCATGCTCAAACTTCATCCTATTATTGGTTAAAGGTAATCAAATGTTCGAGACTTGATGACTTATCTATAAAACTGTAGTCTGTAAGATCTGTTTTGATTGATTATAAAATCAATAAATTCACTTTTTTTTCTCAAAATGTTGAATTCGTTAAATTTTATTTATCTGTTTAACGTAACATTATAATATCATGGTCTTTAATAAAATGAAACAAATAAAATAGTAATTTTAATAATTACTACAAAACTGTAAAACTTATAAGAGTAACATCAATATTAAAAATAAAGGACGTAAATAACATAATTATCTTAGTGAAGAATTTGAATAGTCCTGGTCTCGGAACATGCCTTATCCGAAATTGGTGAAAGTTTTATTTCTATAATCCTATTGAAAACTCTAACTTATTTTCGAATTATTAATATCATAATCCGTGAACATTATAACGGGCATTAAAGTAGGAGTACTATATATAAAATGTAACTGATCTGCATTTCTTTGGTGATAATATTTATTTTTACATTTCACCGATATAAAACTCATTGATAGATGAGTGAAATACCTACGTCATTTCGGAAGTATAGTCATCTGATTAAATGTATCAGTCATCAGACAATCTAAGTAGATTATGTGTTGACCTAAAGATTTTGTTAGTCAATATATTTGTAAATCTAAAGTGTAGTCAATATATTTATGAAATTTAAGATGGCAACATCTAATATGACGGCTTGATGCAGACAATTCTTTGCTTATTTCTATATTTTTCGAAAAACAATTTTTTGATGATGAATATTTAATATTTAAATATTTGGTTAATAAAATATATAAATTATCTATATAATACTTTTTTATTCACTTAATATAATAACTAAATATTGAAGAAACATTCAACGATATATGTCCATCTTATCGAAAAGCACTGAGTACACTACTTCTGGAGCGTTGATTGCAAATAAATAATCTAAGTGATTGAAATTTGGATATTGAACTTTATGGTACAAAATAGTTAACGGCAAAAGATCATGTATATGTCTGACATCCTAGAAAGAATGTTTATTCACATTCTGACTAAATTTCTACTGATTTTAGGTACATGATAAGCGGATATATTTTACCTCTGCGGTCGATATTAAATCATTCTCTGACCAGAATAGACCAATTGGTACTCTCACTTTTCGTAAATCATATTCTGGCGGTTCGGGGCTATGATAAACTTCCAAATTTTTTTCAAATCCATAATCATACTTTTGAAACCTTCGGGAAGTTAGTATTTGCAGGTAATGATTCTTTATTTTATTAGCTGATGGTGTTAAGTGGTGACTAAATATTAGCGGGAACAACGTCTAAAAATGATTACTAACACCTGAGTATGACAGTTAGTTAATACAATTACAATATCTGTAACTTACATAATTAAATTGTGAAAAGTCATAACCATTATATGTGAACATGAAAAACAAACAAATATGAGAAGAAAGTAACGTGGAACTGCAGAATTCGTTAGAAAAATATTTGATAATACCTGGAGAGTATAATTCTCCACTACTGAACCGATCAACGAAAGTCTAAAAAATATTTCATCCATTATTTTTTCTCAGATTAACTATACAATCAAACATGTATGGGTTCTTTGTAACATTTCACTTACAATCGTTGAGGTAGATAAAAACGCGGTGATGCGAAGCGGCAATGCAATGTGATTGAGGAAAGCTATGGGAGCAAAACTAAACATCAAGGTGATTTTTGAAGTTATATCGGGTCTTTCCGTGGCCATAACGTAAAAAGCAGTTGTTCCCATAGAATGACCAATATAAAACAGACTACTATTCTGGTGTTTCAAGATGTACGATATTTCAGCGGGAATGTCGTAAAGCCCGATTTCGTTAAAACTGCATATGACATTAGTTATAGTAGATACTGTGGATTAAATCAAATTAGTTGTACCTAAAATTCCAAAAACCGTGATCAGAAGTTGTGTACTTCACATGACAGCTCGAATATAAGCCACCTCTGGCATTCGCCATCCAAACGTCGTAGCCTTTATTTGCTAAAAGGAATGCTAAAAAATCCTTGGTCTTATAATACTTATAATAAAAATTAATATTCCATTTGTTTGATTAATTAAAAATATTTCAACACTGCAGACCTAGAGACTTATGTTTGCCAGCAACTACCCAGTCAAGAGCAGTCGCAGAAAATCCATGATGCAAAAGTACCGGCGGTGCATTTGGTGGCCCTGGGATGCGATTGAGAGTAAGCAAATACCCATCATCCGTTAAGACTACATGATTTTCAGCGGTATAACCTTCTTTTATAATCACGTCATTCTGGAATAATGTGATTGCTATTATAACTTTATGGCGGATATATTTTTGACTAATAATATCATACTGGTGTTGTATCTGCGTATGGTAATTTCGATTTATCACCATAAATGCAATCTTGAATAGATTTACCACCTGCTATTGGTCCCTCGTATGCACTGGTAATACAAATTAGCAATTGAAAAATAATTGTGATGGGAAAACGTATAGTTGATGACATTTTGCGTGTTGCTAAATCGATATTTTGAATGGAAATATCGTAGAAGTAATAAACTCCAAGTCGACTTTGACCACTTGTTACAAGCGTTAATGTAGAAGCTAAGTTATTATCATTATCTCGTAAGTTAATTATTGAATTGGCCATAGAGGAAAAAATGGTAATTACGATAATTTTTTTTCTCCCGTCCACTTAGTATTACGACATAGAATAACTTCATAATTATATACGCAATTGAAACTATTTATAATGGTATATATGGAACCTGTTTAATAGACAAGACGATATTGTTGCAATAACCGGATTAGTTTTGATATAAAAATGTACATTAATAAAAGACCAGGTGGGCAACATTGACATCGGAAAACCGGTTTGAAACATATACGTATAAGAGCAGTTGAAATGAGCGTTCGATCAACATGATTGCAATTTATGCGCGTGCGATATTTAATTGCGACTGAAAAATTGTCAAAAAGTCAAATTTATTTTGAAAATGAAAAATGAACCTACCAAAGTTACACGTGAAAAGAAAAAGAAAAGTTACCTAGTGCCAAGTTCTTTGTCGGAAAATATAGTCAACCTGAAAATATTTGAACAAATTTTTATAGGGAGAACAAATTGTTGTAGGCAGCGATTATACGATTCAGTTACCGAAAATAGCTATGTTATTTTAAACGACAAAATATTTTCGGCCTGTACATGTGATACAAATAATACCACTGAAGAAATTAAACGTGGAGTCTTATTTTCTCAATCATCAAATCTTTTCACAAACTATTAGTCGTTCGATTGTAGTTGATTCAAATTATAAAATTATCATACGAAGACGATCCACACGATCTACTAAAAAAATGACACTTATTTTGTACTAATAGCGCGTTGTTAGTGAAATATTAATCTGTTAATATGAGGGAATATAGAAATAGAATCAAACTCAACAGAGTTATGGTTAGATTACTGAAAATCTTATTTACAGCCCTAGAAAGTTCCTTCGATTGTAACATATTAATTTATGAAAAAAATTACTTTACCACGCCTATCTGAATGTTAGAGTGAATGAAAATTATTTTAGAAGGACTTGTTACGACCTGTATTATGTAATAAATGGAGCCGATTTTCAAAAAAAGTATTTTTTCTTGTATTTCGACCGGTTTTTCGAATTTTATTAAAAAAATCAATTTATAATTTTAGAAAAACGGTTTGATAAATATGAAAAAATAATTTTTTTGAAAATTGGCTTCACTCGTTCCGTAGTATAGATCCGTATAAAGACAACGAGAATTCTCAAAATAATTACCGTTGATTCTAATGTTCAGAAAGGCATAGTAAAGTCATTTTTTTCAACAAATAAGATGTTACGATTAAGGGAACATTCTTGGGTCACTAAATAAGATTTCGGTACTCATGAGCAAGAAAATAAAAAGCTCGTATCGAGTCCTTTAAGATAAAAAAATTTTTGTGATACCTTTGTTAAGACGATTTTTATAGGCCAAGAAACAAAACTTTATATATTCACTATTTAACACCGACTGGTTCCCTTAAGTATTCTGTTTATCTGCATAATACGTATACATACCAATTCCTAACTCGTAATAACTATATTTTTTATTATTCATTATTCTAAAAATATTAATCAATTGACATTAGTATGAAGCGTTAATAAATTAACAGAGAAGTACATTGTACCTGCGAAAGACGATAGGAAGCTTATTAATGTTCAATAAACGGAAATATTACGTTGGTTTTGTTTAACAAATCCTAGATAGTCCGAAAAATTGTATTTCTTAAGTTTAAATTATAAATAATATATAAACAATATGTACTGGTCTCAATCCATCTGAATGATTAAGAACTACACATACTTTCAAAACTTGCGCCATGCACCACCAGCTGCTGTTGCTGCGCGCGCATATTTAAGGCATAGTGTTTCGTGATACTATAGTACTGATGATAATGTCAAGCGAGGCTTGGCGTTGAGTTTCGATTGTTTGGTTTGCGTGCAGTGATTTTTTATGTCCACCACGTTTGTAAATATTACTATTAAATATCATTATTGGAATAATGGATACAGTTTATTTACACCACATAGATAATTTTTTACTTTCTTAAAGTAAACATGTGCACTTCAAGAAATTTATCATAGTTCTAGATAATGAACTATTTTTTAGGTTACATTAATATCTGAACTGAACATTGCATAATTAAATGTAAGTAAATTTTATTTTGCACAATTGAAAAGACACAATCAATGACCGCTGAATATTATAACGGGTAGAGGTTTCTTTCTTATTGTTGCACGATCATGAACGATAGGGTTGGATTTGTGAAATACATACGTTTAGGCGATAATTAACAGCGTATTTACTTTATTAATTCAAAATGAGAAAGGGACTGTATGTGCGCATGCGACTACTGTCTGAACTAAAATACATCCAACTCGTGCCAAATTTACCCTGGTGCGCATTTTGCCGAATTATTCTCGTGGAAGTGCACATGCAGGTGTAAGAACGTAGGAATCGTTAGAAAAAACGGAAAATGGATTCGAGCGATTCTTACAAGGGTTTATTCGTGACGATATCAATAATCCGAACATTATAGATAATATTTATATCATTTAATTCAGATATAGTAAAAACTATAGTTGGCTCTATAAAATTACTAATAATATCAATAGCAATAACTTTCCGTACGCTACGGTATTTTGGAAAATTTTGGAAAAGTTTATTATATCAATATATTATATAAGTTTAATATCAATTAAAAAATTCAAAATTAAATTATTCAGTGTAATTTAGAAATATCCAGATTATGTATGCAGATATATAATTCAAAACTCCTTCATTATAGTTATTTGAAAAATTTACAAAGCAATTGTTAGTATTTCATTTCATAATTTTTATATAAGAAATCGTATCGAATTTAGACAGAGAAAAATGTTCGTTTAAAAGTGATCTGCATTGTCTGTTACAGAAACTGTAGAAATGATGCAGAACGTAGACTCGTGTTGAGAAAATATAGACTAATAATATTTAATTTATCCAAAATCAGTTTTTTAATATACCATGGATTTAGTGAGTATACAATAAATTATATATATTTTTTACAATATTTTAATGAATTTCAGTAATATTGTTATTTTTTTTTATATTTATAAAAATAAATTTTCAAATAACAAAAATCTAAATTAATTTTAATGTTTTGAGAATTTCTTTACTTTTAAAGTATCAAATGATTATTGCATTTAGCCACGCGGAGATGGTTTATTTAGATATATTATTTTGTATATGCAATACTAAATGTCTAGTGATTATTTCAAGCATTGCCTGATATTCGTCCGTTTATTTATTGTCCAAGAAAATTTCGTTTATATCTCAAAATCAATTTAAGGATCCTCTAGAATTTAATAAAAATTCATTCATAAATTAGTTTGGAAGCATTAGTTAAATTCATAATTTACGATAATTAATGTGTGATGTACATTTCTTTCAATTTAACTGAAATATAAATCTATCATTTATTCATCATTTAAAATCCGTTAAACTTTTGAAACAGGATAACATTTTCAGTAGTTTTAATTAACCTCGAATGTACGCACAACCAATGTTTTTGTATTGTCAATTTTCTCGAATTTTTTGAATTGATAACTTTGTAAATATGTTAACTTTTTGGATTAAATACATTCCATGCAATATCAATCTACCAATACCAATATTTTTTCCGATTACAGTACTGTTTCATTAATGGCAAAAAGTTAATTCATTCAGCATTAATCATGGCCTTAAAAAGTGAAGATAAAGCTTACTTAAAGAAGAAATTAAAAGGGGTTATCTTTGGCAGTGTAATTGATGATACAGGATCGACTCTTCTTCACGAAGCTGCTTATTCTGGCAGTCCAGTTGCAGTTGACTACTTAATAAATTCTGGATGTCAAATAGACGCCCAAAAGGACGATGGCTCAACTCCATTAATGTTGGCTGTGGCGAGAACTCAAGTTAAAAACGTAGAATTGTTGCTCGACGCTAACGCCGACATTCATAAAATTCATGACAGTACCGGCCAAAATGCATTGCAAATGGCTTTAAAATCTTATAATAGTTCCGAAACATTAAGGATCATGAAGATGTTTCTTGTTAAAACAAAAAAAATTTGTCTCTCTAATGAAGAGCTAGCAGATATTTTATTGAGCTCTAACTGTGTTTTAGATCGAATTATGTATTTAGGTAATTCAAATTTAACGAAAGTAATACTCGATCGTGGTTTTAATGTTAATGTGAAAAATTCCGAGACTGGTAACACTGCCTTGCACATAGCTGCAAAATTAAATGATGTGAAAAACGTTTCGATGCTATTGCAGTATAAAGCTGATGTGAATGCAGTGAACGCCGTTGACCAAGTACCGTTCACGTATCACATTATTCACAGGAAGGTACAAAACTTAGTAATCATGTATAATATAATTCCCGAAGACATAAACTGGACGAGTCCAGACAAAGAAGACCCCCGGAGACTTAAACTCTACCCAATATTCGCTAATGGTACCGAAGAAACGATAAATCTGTTTATTAAAAAGTTTAAGGTTAATTTCAAGGTACGAGACCACTGTGGTAGAACAGCTTTACACTACTTGTCTTTTAACAACAACAGAAAAGCTCTGAAACCGTTGCGGTACATAAATTTTGATATAAACGCTAGTGATATTAACGGGGAAACTGCATTGCACGTCGCGGCAAGGCAAGAGGCATCGTACGTTTTGGAATTTTTGCTAGACAAGAAGGCAGATGTCAATGCATTAGATAACAATGGCTATTCACCTTTATTTCACGCAATTCATAAAAAAGGAAAGACATCGCGTCGTGTATGGTGCGTCAATCTTCTCATGCAGCATCATGCCGATGCGCAAATCATATCTGAAAGTAATGAAACGGTCATTCAAATGTGTATTGAATTGAAAAATTATAATTTGGCCGAACCTATTTTAGCACATCTTGCAATATTAGATGAATTCGGTACACCCATCAATGAAATCATTCAACAACAGATCGACTCAGTAAAGAGACTTAGAGACTTTTATAAATCGTGTACGCGACAATTAGCAAGAATGAAAGAGGATGTGATTTTTGAAAACAAGACATTATTCGATTTTTTAGCTGAAAGACAAGAAGAAAAAATCTTTCAATATGTACGTAGACCAGAAGTTGTTGAAAAATTTAGACGCAACACGTTTAATTCAAGTTCATACTATTGTAATTTATTAAGATATCGTTATGATAAGGCTGTAATGACGAATAAATTAAGAAAGAAAGCTGCTTCGATAATTAGTGGAATTATAGGCCGTTTTGACTCAAATCATATTGCCATGCAAGCAATAATTGAATACTTAGACTTTTATGATTTAAAAAAATTTCGATAAAATTGTCAATTTTAAAAAAACATTGATTATTTGCACTTTCGAAATTAATAAATACTACTGGAAATGTTATCGTATTTATAATATTTGGAACGGTTTGCTCTATACATTTTCATAAAATTTATTATCAAATTGTACAGCTTGTGTTGTAAATAGAAGTTTTATGTGCTATGTTAATCTGTGTATGTGGATATTTCATTGCAGTCGTTTAAACGATAAAAAGTAATTAGAAATAGCGAAATAAAGTAAATTATAGATAGTTGAATAAAAATACTTTGATATTATAAATCAAATTTTGTTTTGCATCGTTAAATAATCTGATAATTCACTCAAATAAGTCACTTTATATCGTTTCTATAGATTATTAAATTGACATATGTTGTAAGATAAGATATATTTTTACATTTTATTTATTATATTTTCATAATAAAATTATCATGATACAATTTATATTCTCATGATTTTAATACCTTCTTATAAAAATCTTTTGTAAACCTTTAAAAAAACGCATCTACACATGAAATAGCTTGTGTGTGTGTGCGCGTGCGTGCGTGTGCGTACGTGTGTATGGGTGTGTGTGTGTGTGCATGTGTGTGTGTGGTTTTTATTTCTAAATCTGACTATTTTTATTTATATTTATAAAATAAACCAATTAACCAAATATTACTGTTTCACGAAGATTACTGTTATTATTATTATTAAATCCTTCTATAAATTATTTTTTAAACTAATTATGTAATTTATATACGATGTTACAGTTATTAAAGCTTCCAAATGACAAATGAATCAAAAGTTGAATTGAAAATTGATCGATGCACTTATGAAAAAAGGATAGCTATATAGTCATATATATATACGTATGCGTACTTGAAGGTTCATAATAATCTGAGCTGGTGGATGAATAAGCGTGAATTCTTCTCTGCGTTGTCCACTATCGCAGCACTCTTATGTCTTATCGATAATGTATGCGTGCCTGGAATGCCCAAGCGTATATATATACAAATACACGCAGAACTGAAGTGGCTTTTAGTCTCTTACATGCTACTGCTTTGAAATGAAGCTTAAATTTACTTTACTACTCGTTATCAAACTTTGCTGGGCTATCAATTTATACAAAGATGAGGAACTTCAATTTCGATGCGGCTACGAAGTGAGTATTTATATTTTTTAAGAAATCAGCGTTGCGTTAATGATTCAACTGTCCAGTGAAGACTAACATTGTTACTTAAATAGATGCTTTCTATTTCTGACCAATATTTCCATCATTTCGTTCATGAGCGCGACAGCTGATTTTTCGGTTCTCATATAAATTAATATTACACATTTATAGAACACCTTAATTATTTGTGCGATATTTAAAATCATTTATAAGAATAGAATTATCAAATATCGGATATACGTTAGAATGTTAAACAATAATAAAATGAGGATAATCATCTGAATTATTTTGTCATAGTGTAGTATTTTGTAAATAACAACAAGTATGCGTGATGGTATATTTATGATTATAGACCTGTACGAAAAGTGATACCGACAAATTAAACATCCATTTTGTGTCCCACTCGCACGATGATGTTGGCTGGCTGAAAACGGTCGACCAATATTATTTTGGTGGTAATATTTCAAATGCTCGTGAAAAATTACAAATTTATTAAAGAAAATAATAAACAATCAATTATTTCACAAGGTCGCATGAACATTCAAGTGGCTGGCGTGCAGTACATCATTGATAGCGTTGTCGATTCGCTTTTAAAAGATTCTAACCGAAGGTAAGTGGTGGTTACAGCTTAATAATTAATAGATCAGTTATTTGAAAATATTAGTACTAATTAATAAATACATTTTTAACAAGTCATATCGTTTAGATTTATTCAAGTAGAAACCGCATTTTTGTGGAAATGGTGGCAGCGTCAAGATGACGAAAGGAAACAAGCCATGAGAAATCTGATAAACGAGGGCCGTCTCGAGATCATTGGCGGAGGTTGGAGTATGAACGATGAGGCTGCTACTCATTACCAGTCCTTAATCGACCAATACACATGGGGTTTCAGGTTCTTATGCTGTTCATTGTTAATCTATAATATTGCTGTACCTGTAGAAATAATATTGCAATTAATTGTGCAGACGCCTCAACGACACTTTTGGTGAATGCGCTCGTCCCAAGATCGGTTGGCAGATTGATCCGTTTGGCCATTCCCGCGAACAAGCATCGATTTTCGCTCAGCTTGGTTTTGACGGCATGTTATTGAACCGTATCGATTACCAAGATAAAGAGCAGCGACTCCAAAATAAAACCATGGAATTTATCTGGGAAGCAAATCCGAGTTTGGGTAAAGAGAAAACAAGCTGATATAATAAAATTGCCTGTTGCTCTTGATTATAATACCCTGATTTTAGGTCAGCGCGGAAATTTATTTACGACGGTATTATACAATCATTACTCAGCACCTCCAGGATTTTGTTTCGATATTCTGTGCCGTGACGAGCCGATGATAGATGATACCGAGAGTCCAGACTTTAACATCGATAAAAAGGTACAGCATGAAATGGTGGCAGTTGTCAGAAGTAACATTGATCGTGTAATTCTGTATTTCGTAACAGGTTAAAGCATTTTTGGAGTTCGCTGACAAGCAAGCAATAGCATACCAAACGAATAATATAATAATAACAATGGGCGGTGATTTTAATTACTTGAATGCGGAAATGTATTTTACTAATTTAGATAAATTGATTAGGTACTGTAAGTTTACTGAACTAACTAACTAAGCATAAAATTGTTTAACTCAATTTAATAATTCACAGTGGAATAAACAAACTAAATGGTAAACAATATAAAGCTTTCTATTCAACACCATCATGCTACTTGAAAGCTGTAAATGAGCAAAACTTGACTTGGCCGACGAAAAAACGACGATTTCTTTCCATATGCCAGCGATTTTCACTCTTTTTGGACGGGCTACTTCACATCCAGGCCCGCTCTTAAGTTCTTCGAGAGGATGGGAAACAACTTTTTGCAGGTGAGCAGCAATCTTGTAATGTTTGAGATTTACAAAAGGATTATATTCATTGTTCTAAACTAATAATGCAGGTGGTTAAACAATTGTCGTCTCTAAGCAAAACAGTCGACAGTTACGAGTTACAACTATTTCGTGAAGCCATGGGTGTGATGCAGCACCACGACGCTGTGTCCGGTACGGAAAAGCAACATGTAGCTGAAGATTACGCTCGACTTTTACATCACAGCGTGAAAAACGGAGAACGACTAGCTTCTGATGCCTTACGGTAGTAATCTATTAATTTTTTAACATTCATGCAACAATAAATGTTCTGATTAATAATTGTAGCAAACTGATGAGCAAGAATAATACTAACAATAACAAACTAGTACTTCATTCATGTCTCTTATTCAACATCAGCTCGTGCGAATATACGAGTGCTAATTCGAAATTCGTCGTGACAGTATATAATCCGACAAGTCAACCGCTTAATACATACGTTCGTGTGCCAGTTCAACAATTGCAATATAGCGTCAAAGATTTTAATGGTTTCTTGAAAATAAATTACAATATTCTAGCATATAATATAGTTATAATGATAACTTTCTGATGTAATTCACAGGAAAAATACTCTTGAATCAAATTTTACCAATACCGGAACAAGTTCAAAAGATTCCTGGAAGATTAAGCCCAGCTACGCATGAATTAGTTTTTCAAGCGCACAATATTTCTGCTCTTGGTTATCAGTCTTTTTATGTGAGTATGAAATTTAGCAGATCCAGTGAGGTCGAATTCAATCAATACAATGAACAATTCATCAATAGACAGGTATGTACAATAATTATTCATCAAATCTGAAATAAAATACAGTAATATTTTTTTATAGCAATATAAGATTTTTGTCAATCAACATGGTAGAGTGTCGGTCGAAACGCCGACCGACATCAAATACGAACAGTCCTTTCAATACTACGAAGGTATTGAAGGTAACAATCGTGTGCCGATTAATCGATCCTCGGGTGCCTATATTTTTAGACCAAGACATGATCACGCTAAAGCCATGCCCTTCACAGGAAACTCTGTCTCAGTTTTCAAAGGTACCGATGGTTGGAGAAGTTGAAAAAAAAACAATTTGTTAACGTCTCATTTGTGACTTACTTACTGTCATAGGACCATTAGTTCAAGAGATTCATCAAGTAATTAATAAATGGACGAGCCAGGTTGTCCGATTATACAACGACGAGGAACACGTAGAGTTCGAGTGGCTGGTTGGGCCAATTCCTATCGAGTAAATAAAAAACTTTTCAGCTATTTGTTATACATAAAATCAATACCATATTAATTGATTTTTAGAGATAAAATTGGTAAGGAAGTTACCATAAAGTATTCTAGTAACTTGAAGAACAATGATGAGTTCTATACTGATAGTAACGGACGTGGGATGCTCAAACGCAAACTCAATTATAGATCGACTTGGAAACTGAAACTTAACGAAACAATCTCTGGTAATTACTATCCAATCAATTCTAAAATTAGTATTATGGATCAGCAAAAAAATCGTCGCCTAAGTGTCCTTAATGATCGCGCTCAGGGTGGAACGAGTTTGAAAGAGGGAGACATTGAACTAATGGTAATTAGTTTAATCAATTAACGATGAAAAATATAGTAGAATGTGTAATAAAATTTTGTTTCGTCGATAGATTCATCGAAGACTTCTGCACGACGACGCTTTTGGAGTTGACGAGGCGCTAAACGAAACCGCCTACGGTCAAGGGTTGGTAGTTCGAGGTCGGCATATTCTCATTGCTGGTAGCTTATTGAATTATAATGAACTCATCTTACTGGAGAAAGAAGAAACGATCAGGCTGTCTTTACGTCCATGGCTATTCATATCACCAACAACATACTCTTTTGAGCAATGGAAACAGCATTATAACATGAAGGTAGGTATTGAATAGTTCAGTTTTTGATATTATTAAAACTAAATATGACGAAATA